ATGAATAAGTTCTGGTCGTCGTGCACTCTTGCTCTATAATTTCAAAATCATTTTGAAGTACCTTATCCTAAATACCACGAACTAAAATATTATTTGTGTATATATTTTTACTAGTTATATTATTTAAACCACCAAGATATTTTGTTAAAAAAATTATGGAGTTTTCCATTCAGAAACAAAGAAAAAATCTATTGTTTGTTGTATTTTGATTCGTTAAAATAATTTTTCTGGTCACTTATATACATAATTAAAAAAAATAACTAAAAAATAAATTAATTTAAATTGTTTTTATACAATATTATTTAATGTCCTAGCTTATTCAATTTAATTTGAATATTATATAAAGTTTTCCACTATCTTTTATACATATCGGAATATTCTGCTTTCCGAGCTATTTGCATGTTGTAGTTTTTTGGTTCCATCTTTAATTGTAAAGCTTTAAACACATTTCACACACTTTTAAGGTGGTAGAGCCCAGCAGTGGTTAAGTTACTAGAGCTCGAACCACAAGAACACTCCACTCACTGAAGATCAGAAGATGAAGTCTTTAATGGCTGCGTGTCGTCCGATGAGAGAGAATTGGGTTACTCTTTCTCTGTTCCCACCCTTTGCTGCAATCTTCTTACCCTCGCCCATTCCTCCTTCCTTAACAATCAAGGTCGGCAATTCATGTTGCGGAGGTCCACGGGCGACTGTGACTACTGCCTATCAAGTAAGCCAACTGCTCCGTTCGATACCTTTTCTTAAAAAATTATTCGACTTACTTAACTTCTATTTCGAATAGAATCATATTTTTAAATAATCAGGACCAGAAACCATTCCTAATACCAACCGTTTTCCTTTAACAGAAGCATCCGATTACCCAGTATCTTTATATCTCTCTCAGGATGTACAGAAGACCAAATGAAAAAAGTGAGAGACCAAATTGGATATGGAAAAGCATGACCTTTATTATGCTGGATATTGCACTTTAAGTTTGGTAATAAAATCAAAACAAAAGTTTAAAGTGTGATTCAATAAATTAAATATATAAATCGTTGAGAACTACATGTACTAAACGACTAAAATATTGATAAAATAATTTTCATACTAATATTAAGAGTACCAAAAATATATTTAAACTTCACAATTGTGTTTGTTATTATTTAACTAGAAAACTTATAATAATACTATAAATTTAATGGAACTCTAACATAACAACATATATATATTATGTAGTTTTCGTGTCGATAACGAGTTTGGCAACTTTTACGTTATACATGTTCCTTTGATTGAATTCAACAAAAACCTATCTACATGACATATCAGTTACGATTCCTACCTATAAGAGTAGATGTTTACAAGTCATAATATTATACATATGTAGTTAAATTAATTATTACATCTTTACACAGTTTATTTTTACACAACCTTTGGACAGTATTCACATGTTATGTATATAGATATATATTTATATTATTAGAATTTGTAGAAACCAAATATGTTGCAAGTAGTAAGCAATACAGTCATTCATTAGAACCTAACTTAAATGTACAGGCCTTAAACATTTTCATCAAGATTAAGAGTAAAAAGACACATTTTATTAGAATTTCCATATTAAATAGAATTGCTTGATGTTTAGAAGAAAGGGTAAACAGTCAATAGAGACTATCTTTAAAAAAGTTATCGCATAATTTATTTCATCAACTGACAAATACTTAAATGAAATTGTTATTATCAAAATCGTTGTCTTATCTTGAAAGATTCTCTTGAGTCTTTTCATGATTATCATTGAAGTAGGTAATATAAAAATTTCAATAGTTTTTTAATAACAAACAAATAAAGAATATCAGATATAAATTCGTCGTTAGATTAAGTCTAAATACCGAACGAACAATACTATTATTGCCAGAACAAATATAGTATCATAAATAATTCATATATTAAAACATACTAACAATTTGAACTTCACTAGAAAAAAGTGTTTGTCCCGTGCTTGCTAAGACGTCGTATCAAGGTCGAGAAAAAAAAAAAAACAAACTGCGTGTAATAGAATGATTTAAAATTAAATTGTGTATTTTAGTTCTCACGTTTACCGCTTGAAAGGACTATAATTTATTTCAATTTATTGGACATTACGAACCTCAAAATCAATTACATCTGGTTCAGTTTCCAAGAAAACATAGGTTTTATTATGAAAAAATATTGAATAAGAAAAACTAAATGTTATTGAACTTGTTCATGCATTAATTCTTTACACAACTACAAATATAGAACATACATTTTTATGGCAAATTTATACTTGTGTTTTATTTATTTATAAACGTATGGGTTAACTATTTTTTTCTATTAACTCAATCATTCAAAATAAATTGTTTCAATGAGTCAAAAGATCGACATAAAAATGTCTGAACTTATTTTTAAAAAGCTTCTAAGTAAGGATGATTAATTATCTATTTATTACAATGCTAAGCTTCGATTAATATATTTTTTTTATTTACTTATTTTAAGTACGAGACTTCTTAAATAGATTTATATTTTACGCCTCTACAAAAAATCGTAGCAAATGAACAAATGACGAACAAAGATCTTGGTATTGGACAGTGAATACAAATTGTATAAAACTATATTACAATTTATGATATTGTTCAATGTGAAAAAATGTTAGTAAAAAAGTTACTCCGCATATTTCATCACAGCTTCTGTTTAAGGCTTAAAAAGTTTTAAAGTTAGACGAATTAGAAATCAGAGTATTTATTTATTTACTCTTTATTGTACACCAATATAGATAGAAATAATAAGAGAAAAACAAAGAAGGAAAATGTACAAATAGGCGGCCTTATCGCTAAAACAGCGATCAAGTCTAAAGAGTAATCTTAATTAACTGTTACAAAACAACTTAAAGTTACATAAACTTGTTGAACGAAACAAATTTATTTTTAATATTGCAATTAATGCAAACTAATATAAGCGTAATAATTATAATTGTGATTATTAAATCACAAGAAATAAAATCTAATAATCCATTGACTTTTGATATCATGTTTTATGAGTAAAATATAAAAAAGGGCACACAATATATAAAAAGCCACATTATAAAACAAATTGTAGGAAATCATGTTAGCTGCGAGGCTATTGAAATTTAAAAAAAACATCTCAATTTCAATATAGAAGTTGGAACCTATTAACACCCTGGGACTTCCAAAAAAGTGAAGCTTCGTAATATTGGAATGAAAATAGGAAGAGGCAGAAAATATTTTTTAATCAATATTTTGGGGTTTCTTTAAGACAAAAATTATAAAAATTGTCCAACACTTTCATTTAAATAAAACTAATATTTTTCGGATTACTACGCGAATATTTCTTATTATAATTGTAACAAAGTTTATTAACATTACTTACAAGTCACAATTGATTGCCTGTATGACTCGGAGTGCCAGGCATTCCCCCTCGCTCGGTCTATTTTTTTATCGCAATCTTGTTGGAAGTCATATAAGAAGTTTCACATTAATTATAAATTCCCACGTCTGTGCCTACACCGTAGGACCTCGAGACATAGTTAGCGCATTCTGGAGGCATCCAGAGCGGTATGCTAGGAAATTAAGAAATCGTTGGCAGTAGATGACAAATAACACGACCAACTGACAGACATTCATATCTCGTCTGCCCATGATCACGGTTTCTGCAAAAGTTTACGAAACGTCGGAAGTATGAAGTTTAAAATAATAAAAAAAACATGAAATCTACACGAAAATATTAGTTTTATTTATAGTAACTTGGTTTTAAACTAAATATTAGTAAAAAAATATCAAAAAATAACGTGATTCATATTTCTTCATTTAAATGTAGCTCTACATTATTACTCTGTTTATACGATAAAGAATAATAAAACCATTTGAATGATAAATTATTTATTTTTATTTTTATATTACATGAATTTATATACAATATATTATTATATGTAGTATGACAATATAATTAACACTTAGCGGCAGTTACTTATGTAGCTTAAAAGTTATTACACCCAATCCTTATTAGTCTAGAAGTTTGCTGGCAGTGTAAAGCTATCTTTAACTATTTTTTTAATCTCATTGTGATAAAATTTAAATGTTGATATAAGAAAAATCTTCACTTGATATAATAAGAAATGTTATTAATGAATTTTATTATTTATACCACTTTCTTCGACCACAGCCGTTGAAGATTTTTGTAGCCTTAACAATTTTTTTTTATAAGCATATAATTATTTCATTAAAGCATTTATATACAGAGAGATTTTAATGTGATGAAAAACATACATATTTTCTTAAATGTACCAACAAAATATTAGAATGTGATATTTATTTCATACAAAACTAATCTTTGCTTGTTTATTTGATATAAAAAAATAATTATTAAATAAATAAAAATCGAGAAACCGAAGCTATTTACCAAGCACGTGCGTAAATGGCACATGTTTTAGACTTAGAGCTAATTAGAAACTAAATTATTTATTTTACTGTCATAAGCTTAGCAAATTTATGTGTTTTAAGAAATAATAGAGGTATTTTAAAGAGTTATTTGAATAAAATACTACTTCGTTCGATTCATTCGAAAATAATACATTAAGAAAGGAAACGAGGAAAATGAGGCAAGTCACAAAAAAGATAAAAATGTATCCATTGAAAATCATTTATACCAGAGACAAGTTTAGGAAGAATTTATCGAATTGCAAAGAATTAAATTTCAAACTTTGCTAGCTTACTTTTTGATTTTAAAGTTATAAAATTTTAAATCATTCTTAAGAAATCTTGAGAAGAAGTTTTGAAAAATCTCTCATACTCTTGTCATTTTTTACGCCACGAAGTGATTTAAATCACTTAATTAGTCCATATCTCTGACTGAACTCTTACTTATTTTAGTCTAATTAATTTATTAATATCTACAGCTCGTGAGGCTCCTAGACTATTTACATGAGCTCTGTCAACACATAGTGCGTACAATGACACTTTCGGAAAAGTTTGAAGTCCTTTCAGTCTCAATTAACCCGAACCGTTTGTGTAGGTATCAGTTGCAGCGCGTTGGCCATATCTGAACACACTCTGGACAGTTTGCGCCGCTCCCTGGAAATACATGAAAAATATAAATTAATTGGTATACATATTGGATAAAATCACGTCTTAAAACAATCAGTACTAGACTCTTCATATACAATTACTATAAATTCAAACAATATTAAAGATTACTGCGTGTAATTTAGAAAAGATTAGGCAAATATTGATTGTTAATAGTTACTGATATGATTATGGGTTACTGAATGACATACGTCATACTTATAAGAATGCTTACAATACCTTTATCCCTGAAATAATTTAGACAATCTTTATTAAGTAGGTCAAAGCATGTTGAAATTCAAGTAGCCTTACAAGTTATAAATATATTGATGTTTACCTGTATGGCTGCTCCTAAGAACTGGGAGAAGGCTCGTGTCACATTTATGGCAGCGGACACTAGCTGACCCCGACCAGGACCCTGCTCCGTCGTCACAACACTTGGAGGCTCCAACGGAATCTGGTATTAGTATTATATGTGATAAAAAACTACCAAGAACTGTGAAGAATAGCATAGTATGAAGATTAGCTAAGAAAAATCAATGATATAGAAAGCTTTAATAAGTAAACAATGCTGTCTAAACTACGTGCGTGAAATATGAAACAGTGCGTTATATATAACTACTATACAATTGTTAGAAGATACTTCTTAATACTACATATGAATTTCGAAAAGTGGTGCAGTAGAAAATGTTAAATAAATGTTAGTTCCTCTCAAGTTATACTAGAAGGGAAAGTCATGAATCATTTGGAAAAGGATGTTGTATTATGGATATTACAAATCAGAATATTATAAATATTAGGAAAAACAAGTTACAGAAAAGCAAAGATCATATTAGGAACTTATTAGTTAGAGCCAATTTTCACGGATATATAACATTTACTTACCTAACCTTCAGTTAGCACAGACACTCACATTATTTACATACAACTAATATACTAATTGTTACTCTACTTCAACGTTAATATTTACAATGAAATAATATATTTTCATCACTGGTATTATATACAAATATGTACATATGTATCCCGATAATATTTTTGTATTATCCGATGATGTTGTGGATTATATTTATAAATAATTTTTTTATCAATAATGTAGTGTAGACACATCTACTGTTTTGTAATTATTTTAAATATACATACGTACCCATTGTCGTCGTTAAAACATCTTAAATTATACACAAGTGCTGTCGTACAAAATAAATTTAAATACTGTGCCGAAATCAGTTTATTATCACAACAAAATAATAGCAATATTATTGTGAGTTAGTCACAATAAGACACGAAACAAATGTTCCAAACTTTATTAAAAACTACATATGTATGTATCTCAAAGATAGAACAATGCTTCTCAAATTATTTTTATATAAAAGTGATTTAGAAAAACATCGTTTGAACAAAAAGCATTTGCATGAGAGATGGAAAAAGGCAGCGAAGCAAAATTTCAAATAAATAAGCCTAATACAAAACTTTCGTAAAAAAACTAAATATTCGCTTCACATCCGACTTCTCCTGTATTATATTATGAAGTTGATACTATACAATGTATACTATCGTAGCGTATATTTTCGTCGGAGATTCGCGATCAAATGGTTTCGATAGAGACTATATTATACATATTTACAAATAATTAATTAATTACAATCATTAAAACTAGAAACTGTACAGTATTAAATATAAAAACTTTTGATTAAATCAGAAATAGTTTTTCTATTTACCGATCCAATCAAAGGCTAGGATCCGTCACCTCAACCCCAATCACATAACTTAAGCAACAGTGATGCGAAACCCACTCTGTTTGACGTTGGTTTTTCGTCAGCGTTCCCTACAAATGGGCCGGAGCCGAACCAGTTCACTCTCGAACTGGTGTCCCCGGATGGAGCTGGCCTCTCGGAAGGTGCTGGTCTTCTATTGGGCCTCGCAGCTCCTTCAGGTCCTGGGCCAGTTTCCCTCCACTGTTGCCACAACCACGCCAAACCATCTAGGATCGGTCGTCTCGGCGCTGGGGGCGGAGGTGGTGTAGTCGTTCGCCTCGCTTTCGGTGTTACTACCACTTGGTTCAATAAAGCCTACGATGTTAAAGGTTAATACAAATTTACTCAATTTAAGCAATGGTAAATTGTAAAATGAAAATTAAGATTTATATTATAAGTAAAGAATGAACGAATAAAGGATAAAGATTAGAAGTTCAATAGTTTGAGTTATAAACAGCAGAATGTTAAATTGAATAATTAGTGAATAAATTTTTAATCAATGTGCACTAAGGTTAAAATGAAGAATGATAGAACTAACAGCCAGTCGAAGTTGCTCATCCAAAGAACTTGCCGTGGTTGGGCCAAAACCTTGCTCCTTCAGAAGCGCTGCCAGTAAGGCGTCGTTGCTATTTCCATATTCGGTACTTAATGAAACTGATGATTTTGTCGCTTCAGATAACATTCCCGACGGTTGAGCTTGTTGCAGTAATTTTTTCAAAGCTTCGTCACTTGATTGGCCTTAAAAAATTACCAATACTATGATTATGAAATTGTTACTTGTTGATTCGTATTTTAAATTGAACAATGAAATCTTTACAATACATTTTGTTGATAGATTAATAATAGAGAAATACATAAAGAATGAATAATCAATATTTAAATGTAAGTAATGGTTACGACTCTAAAATGAACTATATGTTATATAATCAAGCTCCATAGGAATAAAACTGGATTGGTTTACTGAGGTTATTATTACTTCGCTCTAGAAACTTATTCACGTTATTGATTAAATAAGTCTTGTTCTCTTATAAAGCTTCTTTGAAATATAAGTTACTTGAATGGGAAAATACGTTATAAATTTAAATGGATATTGTTCTTTTAAAATTATTAATTACTATTTATTTCGCGATAGAGATCATTATTATTTTTAAATTTTCTCGTTTTTTCATTCAATTTGACGTCAAAATTCTTCAGCAAATTTATTTGTCTTTCAGTTAACATTTTTGAGAGTCATTATTATTTGAATGTTTTATTTAAAAAAAAAACTTTCATTATTACATACCAGTCAAAGCTATTTTACTTCGTTGCGTAGTCGTTTCCTGAGCATCTTGTAACTTTATTAATGTTTGTAAAAGTTTAGCATCATCTTGTTCATTCTTTAGTTCATCTTTTACTGCAATTTTTGCTCCATACGGCTTTACCGTAGTAGGATTACTTGATTTAGTTGAGTCTATGCCACCCAACGGTCTCTGCATGAAAAATAAGTTAGATTGTGAATAATAAATACAAAAAATACCTAAGATAAATTAACAAAATTCGTATAAATACTCACGGTAGTAGGTGGTAGCGTAGGTAAATTTAGTTTAGATGGATCTTGTCCAGTCGCTTTCAACAAAGCCTGTAAAAGCTTAGTATCTTGTTCAAATTGTTTAATATCGTCTTCTATAGAAGGAGTGTTTGGAAGTGTCCTTGTAGTTGTTCTACGCGTTGTTGTAGTGGCTCTGGTTGTTGTTGTCGGCTTCATTGTTGTTGTAATTTTCCCCGTTTGTATTTCATTGAGACTTTTTTCCACAGCCAAAGCAATAACGCGATTAGCTAAAGCTGTTTCTGGATCAACATTCCCCGTTTTGGTACTAAGTACGGATTTCTGGAATTTTAAATGTCATACTGTAAACTTGAAAATGAGATATTTAATTTATTTATTAAGTATAAAAATAACACATATTGTGTGCTTTCAGATATAAAATATGATATAAAAGTAATCACCAGATTTTGCAAAAACGCTAAATCTTCTTCGTCTGAAAAAGTAGATGTGCTAGGAATTTCAGTAGTAAGCTTGAATTGTGAAGATTTTCCAGATCTCGATGTTGTAGAGATATCGCCTGCACCACGTGTGGTGGTTGTTGACCGTTCATTAAACGGTCGGAATGTTGTTGATATTCCAAATTCTTCACCATTCTGCTGTTGAGTCTGTAATGTTGAAACAGTAACAGTTCCAGGCATGAGAGTAGTAATTATCGGTAACGGTTTCGTCGTGTAAACCGGTCGAGCATTGTTAGTGGTAGGATTTGGTTCTTTTGACGTAGTAAAAGGATTTGAAGCTACTCTCACGTTAGATGTCACTCCGGATATAATTGGTAATTTCACATTATTATTTCTTGTAGCTTGTAATAGCGCTTGTAAGAGCTGTGTATCTTCTTGAAGTTTTCTTATGTCATCATTAAGTGAATTTTTTGTTGTAGGTTGAATAGTATTTGTTGTTGATAAGATAGTTGTTGTTGTTGGCCTGGTAGTCGTTGTTTGTATGGTAGTAGTTGGTACCGTAGTAGTAGTTGGTTGCATAGTAGTAGTTGTAGTTCTTTGAGTAGTTGTAGTTATTCTGTCTGTAGTGGGTACTAATGTAGTAGTTGCTCCTCCTACAATTTGCCTTATATTATCCAAACTAGGCAAGTTTAGCTCTGCTGGGTTACGGCCTGTAGCCTGTAAAAGTGCTTTGAGTAATTTTGTATCTTCCTCAAACTGGCGAATGTCATCTTCAATGGAACGCAGTGTTGTAGTTTCTATTTTCTTCGGCCTAACATTATTAGATTGTGAAAACGATTGTATCTGTTGCTTGGACATTCCAAAACTGTTTAAATTTTTGGGGCTTCTTCCGATTTCTTGCAGTAAAGATTGAAGAAGTTCCGCTTCATTTTGATTAGAAGACGCTGTTTCTAAATTACTTGTAGTTAATGTAGAGGGATTTGTATTAGATGTTTGTGTAACAGTCGATAACTCTGTTGTTGAGGTTGGAGCAATGTCTGGTAGAGTCATAGGTTCCACTGTAATTGTGGTTGGGTTCCTGGTAGAAAATACAGACGGTACTGTTGTAGCCACATCCACTGTAATAAGTGTTTGCTCTGGTATTGAAAAAGTCGTTTGTGGTACAGTACTTGTGGGTACTGTTTCTGTAGTTTCAGGTTTTATTGTTGTTCTTTCACTATTTATTTCGGAAAAGGCTTCCGTGGTCGATTGTACTGTTGTTGTGGAAATATCATTTGCCATATTAATTTGTACTTGTGTTTGGGTGCTAGATTCAGTCACAGAACTAGTTGTACTAATTTGTATGTCTGCATTCAAAGAATTAGGCATTTTACTTGTGGCAAGTTTAAGAACATTAGATTCTTCATCAGAAACGGTTACTTGGTCAATGGGAATAAATTTAAATACCGTGTTTCCACTTCCATCACTTGGTTTTTCTGTTCGTATTTGTTTTGTCTGTAATTAAGGAATAAAAAGTTTAAACCCTCATTTCTTTCTTTTTTTTTCTTGAACCCTCACCACTTACCTGATACTTGAGGTAATAAAAAAAATATTTTGCCAAAAATTACAATTTACTTATTTTTCCCTTATTTATATATAACTAAAAATTAAAATATTAGGTTAGTATACAGTTATAAAGCTGTAAGTATTAGGTGAGTTTGAGGTGTAATTATTATTTAATTATTATACCTCCGGATCGATATCCAGTGTTAATATTCTTGGTTCACTAGTTGAACTTGTCATGGAGGATAAAACCATCTCCTCTTTAATTGCCGAAGAAATGCTATTAAGCAAAATCTCATCAATAGAAGGTAGCATTGTAGTAGTGCGCAAACTCAAAACATGCGAGGCAGTGCTTTTTTCAGCTGGCGGCATATTTGTGGTACTTATACCCAAAGAACTGCTATCTTTTATGTTTAGTGCCGATGAAGACATCTGCAATGATGAAATTGAAGGTTAAGCCTTGCAAGGGATTTATTGATATTTTGTTAAGGTGCAAAAGGCACGCTTCATCCACCACTATACCACCACCACTTTTCCCAATTGTACTTTAAACTAGTGACTAATGGCATTTAAAACGAAGCACAAGCACAGCTCATAAGACTAACAACAAAAATCAATACCGTAATTTGTAGGTTATTTACAGTGTCGTTGGTTAATCGGTTTTCTGATCCGTTATTTGAGGTTTCTGTGGATGTCATAGTATTAGTGGAAACTCGGAAAGGATTAGACTGCGGTCTGACAATGGCCGGAATGTTATGGATGGGGCTATATGGATTTCTTAGACTCCATGGACTGATTGGTAGTATGTCAATTTTTGGCATGATACGTGGTACTCTAGTTCCATTAGGAAATTTTCGTATTATTGTGTTATTTGGTAGTACGCCGTAAATGATGTATGGACTCGCTTCTGTTAATGACTCCAGAACATTGTCGTTAGGATCTTTACGTACCACAGTATTGTTGGGTAATATCCCAAAAATAACATAATCTTTTTTAGGAATTACTGGAGTTGTAGCAACATTTAGTTCGTTCCTTGCATTGCTAATAATCCTTTCATTCGTATTTTGAGATACTCTACTTGTTTCAGTACTTGCTGCTATTGTGGAATCTAATAATTTTTCGATCATTATATTTGAATCTGTAGTTTGGATTGGTACGAGAGTAGTTTCCTCTAGCCCAGATGGTGTTGTTGTTTCAACAATTTCTGCATTTGTCGTTGCTATTTCATTGTCTTTTAACGTTGTCAAATCTGCGTTGCTAGGGGTAACAGTGCTATAAACACTTTCATCAGTTGTTGTTGTGGGACTAAATTTTTCAGTGGTATCCATACTTATGAAGGGAGAATTGGACATTGGAGTTGTAACTGTCATATCAGCCACACTTGTTTCCGTTACAGATGATTCTGTCGTTAATAAATTTGTACTTTGAATGGATAGAGGAGTTGGAATTGTAGGGGTTGTTGTTTTAGGAAGAGTTGTCACAGATGTCGAAGTCATACCTTGTTCATCGCTTATGTCAGAGTTTCTAATTGTAGTGGTCATAGTATTTACGATTTCATTCAAACGATTAGAAAAGTTTAAGTTCTTGTTTGAGTTGGTAATTAACTCAGTTAAAGGAGCATTTGCTATCTCTTCATTATGATTACGGATTAAGTCCTCAATCATTTTTAAAACTCTGGCTTTTTTAGATAATATCCATAGTTGCAGTCGCGACAATTGGCTTGGATCCTCTATATTATCAATACCTTCTAGTTCACTAATTTGTAATGATGAAATTGGTTTGGAAACTGGGTTTAAAATGGGCTCTGGTATACTTGACGTCACATTCTGAACACTTTCAAGGCCAACGTCATCAACTGTCTTAAAGTCATTTAATTCGAAATTGGTAAGAAAAGGAACTGGAGTGTTACTGTTAGTAAAATCTTTGTCATTTAAATTAACGCTATTGTCGTTATTTACAAAAACGTCTACGCTTGGAGCCTCCGTAAAAGGTTCCGAAACTGAAGTGGAACCTTCAGTCGTAGTTATAGATTCACTATTAGTTAAAGTAGTCTGATCTCCAAGCGTCGACGCAGTGCTTCCAACTTCTTCAAGTGAAAAAGGAATATTTACAGGAAGGTTCTCTACTGTGCTATTTACAACAGTATTATCTACATTTTGGGATAAATTACTACTACTTATATTTATAACCTCGTCCCCACCTACAACTATATTTTCAGTATCTTTTATGTCCTCTAAACTATAGGGAGTGGTATTTGGAGAAGTGTCAATGTCATTATTCGAAGTAATTGATTTTTCATACAACTTTGGAATCAGGGATTTTAATAACTTTGCCATCTCTACAGACAATCTACCTTTGCTGCCATCATCCATATCTTGTATTATATTTTTGATATTATTTGATAGCATGCTTGTTAATTCAGAGGAAACTATTTTATTATTAAATAATATGAGATTAGACATTGTATTATGTACCATTTTTGGGTTGTCAGTCGTTGCTTTAGGTAAAGTAGATACTGAGGTCGTTTTGTCTCTTGGTGATTCTGTTTCTGCATATAAAATCTTTATAGCAAAAGGTTTTCGTGCGGATAAAGGTGTGGTGGAAGGAGGAATAGGAGTGGTCGAAGGAAATATTGTTGTAGTAGTCACAATAATGTTTTTCTTATCTTCACCATTAAGTGACGGTGTAAAAGATTCCCCAGGAGGCATACTGTTAGACACAATCGGTGTAGTCGGTTCAGTGATTTGTACAGATTGAACAGTGTTTATGTTATCCTTTGTCATGGCTGTGTCTGGACTACTCAAGTCTCTGACACTATTTACATTATTATTGTTACTCACGGCGTCAAATGTTTGCTTAACATCTGAATTAGTGTTTTGGTTATTCGTAACTTCTGTTGTTGAGGAAATACGAGGTCTAGGTGTGGATGTAAGTATTTCAGCTAGAGCATCGAAAATCGATACTGTAACTGAGGGTGAATGGTGTGACGCCTCTACATTCATGACTTGTAATGGTTTCGCCAGGCTCTCGGAAAGTTTTAGATCAGCCGAGGTTAATGAACTTCGTGTTTTTGTAAAAGAGATTTCATTCAAATCTAGCCCTAAAAGTATATCTTCGCCCTCTACCTGAAATAAGAATTTATCTCACCCATAAATATAGAAGAACAAAGTGATAAATAGAAACATAATAAATTGAAAGAGTGAACAGTAAAAGGGTGCAAAGACCAAAGCCTCTTTATTACTTTTGGAATTGAATAAATATGATAACAAGAGAACTATTTTAGAATAATAAATACATCACATAAATTATAGTAAAACAATTTTTCACATAAACACAATTTAATCTAATTAATATGAATACAACACTATGATTGAACCTAAATGATGAGTGATTATGAACAGTTTTTTTAATTTACTCAAAATTTTAAGGCCGGGCGTACTTTGATTACGTTTTCGTATGACTTATATTCACGCAAATATTTACTAAAGCACACAAAGGATATTGACCTTCCTAGTACTATAGAAACGTGATTAAAAACATGTCCACACTTTAAGAGTATCTTAAACTATTTATGTACTCCGTTTTGCAGCATCCTCGTAGTGTAATAACTTCTAGATTCAGAACTATCAATATGTATTTTTAATTTAAGTTTCAAATAAATTAAGTGAGTATATAGGTATTTTTAACTAATGTACATACAAAAAAATTTTTGTTTACTTGTCCTTATACTACAAGATACAGATTAAAGACTTGTCAATAATATTAACAGGCAATGTTCATACTTGATATTTCTTCTACTTATTATACTAATTCTCATCAAAAGTGCACCCGGCCTTATTTTAATAATGTCTCAAATGAAATTAATGAAGTTGAATGGATGAAATTTACCTTAATTTTATGTTAAATTTAAACTTATTATAATTTAATTTTCTTAAATGCAAAATAGGATATATCTTCTATATAAAACTTTATACTATAAATTAATTATAGTGAAATTAAGTGAAACCAATGAAGTGAATAATAAATCTAAATGATATCATTAACCAGTTGTGTAGATGTTTCGTGCAAGCATGTCAGCGATGTTGTATTTTGTCTTGGCAGCGGTTCTGTTGTTATATAAAACATATCTTCCTCGTAGAACCAATTAGGCTCTTCGACGGATTTTGTTAAGTGATGGTCTGTCACGAAGAATTTCAGCCAAGCCTCAAAGCAATGAAAACCTTCATTGAATGATGTGAAGCGATAAATGTATTAGGATGGAATTAATATTACTGAGAACGTAATGTTAAAATAAATTCATTCAGTTATACTTCGATCCAAAATACTTTCACCTAAATTCTTCTTTAGTCAATTCAATTTCAATAATTTTTTACATTATATATGTATGTTAAATTATAAACATATATATTTTTTAACTAAATATGAAACAACACTGTACAAAAGAAAATATGATTGCGAATAAGATTGCAATATCGGTTCTTTATGAAGTCGATACACTTTCAGTAAATGAGACACTAAGCTTAAGAGCCTATCATTAAGTTAATATTTTCTATTATTGATTTGTTACTCTGTATATAAAAATTATAAGATATAAACTTTCTAATACCATTTTCCTAAATATATTTGGAACGAAGTATAAGAAATAATATGTATAATGAAACAATACAATGTAATGTTAATTAAAAAAATCTTAAAATTAATAACAGTATCAATTATTATTCATACCTAAACCAATTTCATAAAGGGGCTTTGAGGTTTATATTCGTTGTTACTATGAAATAATTTTATTCGATTATATAAATGTAAATATGTATGAATGTTCTTAGTTTGTTTTCATAATAATGACTTATGTTATTTGTGGTTTACTGTGGTGTTACTTACAGTGGATGTTGTTATTGTCGGTACTGTGGGTTTGTAAAATGGCTTATCTAGATATGATGCTCTATATTTAGAGCTAAATTTATTTTTTGGTTTATCACTGTCAGCTATGATCTGTAAGAATGTTTTTACAACAGATATGATATCGAACTGGAAAGTAAATTTTAATCACAAAAGAATACTTACGCCATTTGATGAAGCCTCGGTCGTTTTAGAGAAAGTGTCACTGTATTTTCTTAAAGTTCTGTCCCTGTTCTTTGGCGCTACCGTGCTTTGTTCTTCTTTCGGTTTTGCAGTTTTACGACTAAACTTCCTAGTAAGAATATTTCTTATAGGCGGTTGAGAAGTTGTAGCACCTTTTTCTTTGTTTTCGTTAACAGGATCATTATATGTTGCGTGATATTTCTGTGTTGTAGAATCTACACTTGCTGCTGGTTTATTATCTTCATCTAATTTATTGATTATTTCATTATCAGTACTATTTTCTATTGATTCCTTACTGTTAACTTTAATTACAAACGATTTTTGTAGTTTATTATTAACATCGTTTCTGGTCAATAAACTGGGATTATTGGTGTCGTTGTAGGTCACAGATTTAGACGTATAAATCAAAGGTGAGTCTGCAGTATTTTCAATTTTTTTATCCGCAAATAAAACTTCGTTATCATCTTTAACTTCTCCTTCCGTTGTTATAGCAACAGTCTCTGGGCTTGTTCTTGATCTAGAGTAATAAGCTGTTCTGGGTAAAACTTGCCGAGCTTTAAAACTGTGAAATGTTCTCATACCATTACTTCTTTCTGTTATTGTCACTTTAGGAACATCTGAACTTATATTATTTTTTCTTGTAAAATTCCGTTTTGGATAAAACGATGAACGAATTGGTTTCTTATGAAAAACATTAGTTTCTATACGCTTTGTTTTTACAGTATTATCTTCCGAAGGGGTCTCTGTTGTAACTGCTTTTGCTTTTCTGCTAAACTTATAAGGCCTCTGGGTTGACGCAGCTACTGTTGAAGACGGTATGACGGGAGGAAAGGAGTTATTAACTATCTTATTTCGCGGAGTGTATGTTCCTCTTAATCTATACTCTGGAGGTTTAGAATTTTCTGTTGTCGTTGCAATTGGTGTTACGCTTACAACGATATCACTTTCAGTATTATTTTTATCATCTTCTGCGTTTAATTTACTGCGGAGCTGAAATGTAGTTTTATCTATTTAATAATATATCAAAGGTTTTGTATGAAAACATCACAATGAAATAGGTTGGCAGTTGTAAGTTTGATGAAATAATTATGATTTTAATTATAATTAATGAACAGTGTGATGCATAATGAAATCTGAAAAGTGATAAAGTGATGTCGCAAGCAAATGATGGATGGTGTTTACGCTTTATACTACCGATGTTGGCTTTTCTACTTCAGGTGTTGTTAGAAAAGACTTAGGTGTTGTTGTTAAAGTTTGATAGACTTTTTGAGATGCTTTCACGGACAAACTCTCGCTGGGTGGAGAGCTCGCGTGTGTCTGAAAATTTTGTTTGCCAATATTAAATGTCATATGTATGCTTATGTATGGATAATTCAAATTTAATTGATGTCTTAGAAAATTCACGGATGTACTAGTTAGTATGTGGAGCAATGTTAGTAACATGAATCAAACAGAAATTCTGTTACTGATGCAGTCTTTATTTAAAAAAGAACACGGTATACATTTGTTCTAGTTTGTGTAATTATTTATTATACTTGTCTATAAACCAAGCTCAATGATTCAGATGATGTTACTCACCGATGCATTTTTTGCTTGAATCAATGCTTTAAAAGTTTCAGGATAGTTGTCATCATCGGTAACTTCATCTGATAGTTTTGTTTTTTCTTTCTTAAGGCCATTATTCGTTTTTCTGCGGGAAACAGGACGCTTTACAACTTTAGTTGCTCTTGCTGTATTTTCATTTCTACTTTTTTCAACTATGTTTTCAGTGGATGATGATAAAATATTTTTTGAAACTGATTGACTAGTGAAATATCCTCTTGTTTGACTAGACTTTCTCTCCCTTCCATATGATGAAACATCTTCCCCAGTTAAATTTGTATCCGTTTCTGACTGTCTTGTCCTGTATTTTAATTTTCTTGAGTTTCTATTTTCAACATTTACAGGATCTTTCGGCGCAGAAATTAATGCGTTTGCTGTTCCTGAAACCTCCAAATCTAAAGGTCTTGTATCAGGGCGGGTATTAATACGACCGCGAATTCTTGAAGGAGTTGTTATTTCAACTGTCCGAAATGTTGAACTCCTTCTCCTCAACTGATTGTTGGTAGTTTCCATTGTTTGTCTTGAAGTATCATCGTAATTAGTAGCTTTAGTTGTTGTTCTAAATGATGGTTCTGAATATGATGTTACTGTTTCTAAAATCTGTGTTGGTTGAACTGTTTGAGCCGTGGTATATCTACTTGTTTGTCGTTGTCTGCTTTTACTTTTATCTCTATTTAAGGTTGTATCAAAATTTGCCTCGTCGATAATTGGCCGTCGACTACGTAACCGGTTGTTTGATTTTCTTGAATCAAATTGCTCCATTGCCTCGGTTTGTAATTGAGGTGTATTTGTGGAGGATACCTCAGAAGGTTTAGTGCGACTCCTCGTTCGAGAGACATTTTCGTTTGGTTTATTCCGAACTGTACTTTCTTCTCTTCTTCTCGATACCGGAGATCTTGAATTTGTAGCGACATTTTCTGTTTTATTCGCATTTTCAAAACTTCTATTTGATTTTTGAAAGCGCCTGCTAACTCTTGCTGTGTCAGTCTGAAAGGAAACACCACAGAATTGATTACTAGTAATATCTTACAAGTCATGTCTTAAAAATAACGAAATGTTCTCTATAAGTATGGGAAATTAAACAATAGAAAATAATATCATTCCAACACAATACTGTTAACATTAGCTATGTTCATCTACCATAAAATCTGTAATTCAGTTTTAAAAGCCTAGGAACAGATACAATGAAAGTACATTATGATTAATTTAAACAATACACGGAAATATTTTTATAAATGCACATTTTATTATGAATGATGTCTTAATTTAGTTGCTTTTAAAAGATCATTAACTTATGCATTGTAATTTTGCCATAGCTTTTATCTATTACGAATTTTTATGTTATATAATAAGTATATAATATTATTTTTTTCCTTTTATCGTTGATTTTTTATGATATTTTACAAAGTTCCGTTTCCCTTAAGGACAAGTGATTGTTCTATATTATCCCGCTTGATATCAAAGGTCACATCGTGTGATAAATCGTTAAGAATCTAGATCGGCTAATATTTTAAAGTAAGCACACTTTTTTTTCTCATAAAGGGTAAATAATAACTTCAGCAGTAGATAACAGTGGCTTTGCTAGAATAGCTTTATTTAGAAAGGTAAATATACTTTATGGAACACAATACTTTATGTAAATTAATTCGGTTCAGAAATCCAAAAGTACTCATTATTATTAAATGAAATTGTTAATGGAAACTATTTTAATGTCATAATGAAATAAAACGAAAATTGGAACGATTTCATCTAAATAGGAATGAAATATTTCCTTCAACGTGTTTGTTTTGTAAACTTGGTTTTTTTTCATTCTATGAATTAAAACTATTTAAATTGTTGTTTTGTATGTACATAAGCTATACCAATACTTGAGTCTTTCTTTTTATAAAAGTAACTTATATTCTAACTAAAATTGCTCTTGAATATACGATCAATTGAGATCAGGCTAAGGTATCATTATGGACTCCATTCAGTACCGAATCTATCTATAACAAATACTAATTACTTATCGTGTGTTGTCTTTAATAAATAAACTGTTTTAATAATTAATTTAGGTCATATGGACGGTTCTAGTTTTAGTTCTGTCACGACACAATCATTCACAGACTGTGTAACAATGTTTGATAGATTAAATCTAGCGGCCGTGATATTAGTGTCACGTTATTAGAAAGTTATCTAACAAGTCCTTAGCATTAGTCTTTTCTTTTATAATTAATTAATGGAAGTTTGATTGAACTTTGACAGCGAATAGAGTGGGTTCGCGTGATATTTTGCGATGTATAAAATAATAAAAGCTGCAAGATTTATTTTCTGATCTATAAAATTCTTTCTGATTTTGTAATAAAACAAATATTTGCTATCGCGTTGACAAGACCTACGTCTGAAAATTGGAGCGGATATGACAATACACATTTTGCTATGCTAAGAAAGACGTGGACAAAACTCTGAAATAATACGACAATAAGTTTATTTTTGACCATTGCATCGTATCAAATTTTATTTCGAGTCTTTTAAAAAACAATATTAATGGGAGACGGTAGTGTATTGTTTTTAGGCCTTACTACATTAATCGCATTTTGGTATCGGTCTATAACAAGAAAAAAATCAAAAGAAATCTTGTATGGAAACCAGTCAACAACTTCATAATGATAATAACGGCTAGCATTTATAAAACATTGCATCCATAATAATTATTATTTATATAATTGTCACTCTACAAGTCCTTGCGCCTTTCACTCGTTTTTAACCTTTTGTTTGTCCGACGAAGTCGAGAACCGACCGTTGCAGAAATATATCTCACGTATAAAAATATATCAGATTGATTAATATAGTATGGGACAAAACTGACAATATATGGATTTTAATAAATATGACTAAATAATGCTTTGTTCAATGAACTTATCAGATCAAGCTTTTCAATTAATCATATCATATACTTGATACTATATCAGTAATATCATTAGTAAGTTATTTTGGTATAATAGAATATATGTATATACCTAACGTTTAAACATTATTTTTGCCGTTTTTCTGTGACTTATTACAATAATGTGCATTTAGCTACATTAGTACAATATGATTGTGAATCGCTAGTGTAAACATTTACAGTTTTTATGTTTTACATAGATTTAGATTAAAAAATATAAGGAAAATATAAGTATTGGCTTACAAGAACTTTATTTCGCAAGACAAATCGTTGGGAAATATTCGGGACTAGGTATTCCATATTTGTAAGGATACATTTAAAATGTCTTTATTGATTAGTTTGTCGATTGAAGTTAAATGTTTTATAACGTAACCTAATTCGTCCTTATTCTATTATTTATTTTTTAACAGAAGTATTATCAAAGTCACCTTCCCTATATAATATAGCACTGATAACTTTCAACGATTTAGAACCAGACCATAAATGGCTTTGTTAATTAAACTATAAAATACTATATACAAAAACTAGACGGTTACTCTGAGAAATAAATTTACATATTATTTTGAACGTATCTCAAATTTATACAACATTGATTAGTTTTTAAAGATTATTAAATCTTCAATTATAATAAACTCAATTATTGCAACACATGTAGTTAATCCAATAAAAGTTTTATGTTCATCCAACATTTCAAATGCTAATTACTTGACATTTTATTAAAAAACAATTTTATAGGAATTAAAAAATAAGTCTTACAAATAAACGGATATTTTATTAAACACAGGTTTCTAGAATAAAGAACATATCACTTACTCAATTAAAATAAAACAAAATGAAGGTTTATAAGTTGTTCTAATATAAAAACTATTAGCTAAAAGCTACCGACAAAGGTAGTTTAATTTTTTTATGTTGGTAAAACTAACGATTATAGGAACTGTTACGTCTATATTTATATTTAAAAATATAATTGAATTTTGTAGCATCAAAAGTATTTGGAGGGTGTATTGTCTTGTCAAGTGAGTATCAAACAAGTACATAATATATCTCCATATCAAAGTATGTTAACTAAGTATAATACAAACAACTGCAACTGAAATATTTAGGGTTTCTATATACAAGCACATAACCTTGATGCAGCACGAAGTCAAATATCTCATAGTATAAAAGTGTTTCAATTAGTATGTTTAATTATATGCCCAAAGAAAAGCATTTGATGCAGAAGTAACAAAGAAGGAAACAGTTTATCACAATAAACATATTGTACCATGTCATTTAATTTCCAAAGTGAACCATAAATTCGAATATTATGCAGAAAGTTATCTGTTTCCCTTCAATAAGATAAAAAACATAGTAACTATGTTTAATATATTCATTTTACTTGTACGTACTTTTAGTAATAATAATAATTTTAAATGGCTTAACAAAATTGTTTAGTGTTACGTATTTAAACGTTCTCTTTACTAATCTATCAGGCTTTATATTAAAGAAAGGTGATATTAATATCTATTGGAGGATGCCGATGACCTGTTATCTGATAGTTATATCACAGACGATCAATTCGTGACTGAATCTGAACGTTTCATACACACGATACACAAGCCGTTGAGAAACACACCAATACTTCCGTCACTAATCTCGGTCCGTGGATTACATCGTTGTATAACAAATTATATAAATTATGATCCAACTTAATGATATTTCAATATGAAGCATGATCAATCAAAGCCCAGAATTGAATCTTATATATAAAATTCTCGTGTCGCGGTGTTAGACAGAGAACTTCTCCGAAACGGCTGCACCGATTATGATGATAGTTTGTGAGCACATTGAGTAGCTTTGAGAATCGGCTAATATAATAGATATTATACCCCTAAGTCATAAAGATTGTTTACCCTTAATTATTTTTATACGGACGAATTACTACCCAAAATTTTTATAGCAAAACAACGTTTGCCGGGTCAGCTAGTTTTTATATATAATATTGCTGACATTATGTCAACTTTCTTCTGTACCGAAAAAAAACAAGAATGTAGTAAAACAATACGTTATTTGTATTATGTAAACGAGAAACCAAACAACAAAGGGAGTTTTAAAATAAACAATGGAGTGGATTAGCGTAGCGAGATATTTCACAAATACAGTTCGTTCGTTTCGTTCGCTTCGGTGGATCAACTGGAACTAAACGAGGGACAATTTTCTGCACGAGCGTTACCAGCAATGACACATGCCCCCATTTTACATAGAAGGTATCGATATTTTTGTAACTATATTCAGCATTCTTGACATTTCTGCTTCATCTAACATCCGAAAGTCCATAATTTAATTTATAATTATCTTTCTCACTCCCGGTATAGTCTTTGGATACAAGTTTACGATATTATCCTGTTTTAATTATACCAATTATCATAAATTAGTTTTATGTACTTTTATTTCAATATATATATATACAGGGTGACTGGTGAATTACTATCAATATTTAAGGAGCATACTCGGTACATGATTCTCATTCGAATTATGTAAAAAAAATAGGTACTTAATTTTTGACCAAATTTCCGTATAAATACATAAAGTGTTGACACGTTCCAAGTGTTCAAGTGTGGACGCGTGCGGCGACGTGTTGATACACGACCACGTCACGACATGCGTATGTGTGAGTGTCAGGGATACCTAATCTGTAGGGTGTTCACTCGATGCATAATTAATTACATAACTTTTGGTTAACTTTACTTAGAAGTTTATTAATATTTATGTTATATTAATTTTTATTTTGTCATATATGATCGTCAAATATCACGTCCTCAAATATCGATAGTAATTCACCATTCACCCTGTATATATATATATATATATATATATATATATATATATATATATATGCATTTTTTGGGAATATTTGTTATATTTTATAAAATTATCTACAAAAACAGGAATAAGTAGGTGTGAAATATACGTATAATGATTACAGGATGTGACGTAAATACTGACCAATATGCTTATAACCTATCAAAACATATCAATTATTATATGTACTTCGGGAAATTCCAAATCGAAAGTGGTTTAG